ATCAACTGTTCATTCCCAGTCAGTGTAAGGTTCGCCTGTCAAGTGCCTAGTAAGTGTAAGGATCTCTTCCTCGGTGCCCAAAAGGTGCAAGATTTGCCTTTCCGTGGCGGCAAGTGTAATACAGACTATCAGTGTATGGCATCATATAACAACTCTTAAGTAATTTGCCTTTGCTCTGCCAAGATGGCACTACAGACTACAAAGAGACTGTAACTTAATCATAGGCAGGTCAGGAACCCAGCAAACACTGAGGTGGCTGGACAACAGGTCAGATCCGAGTTATATGCTCGAGCTCTATCGGTACGACCCAACGGGGACCAGCTTTCCTCGCTCTCGAGTCCAACCCTCTTATCCACGTAAGAGGTTGGACTGCCCAGGGACAATAAATCAAAAAGACTAAAGACAATTTCCATACATTCCTTTAAGGTATCTAAGTTTTCTTTACTTGCTGAAGCACTTGGTCCTCAGGCTTGTTCAAATCAATGTGATTAGCCCTTCTACGGAAATCATTTGTAAAGGGGCACTCAAGTACGGTACATAGTGTTTCGCGTTGTTGCCGCACGGACACCCACGGGAGAAGCAACCATTTCCGTGTTCGAATTTGGATTTGTTGTGGGGGAACTTTCCATGTCCCGTAAGGATCTGGGTCAGTGTCCAGTTACAACTGATAGAAGTTTGGCCAACTTCAGGCACGAAGGTATAGGTCGACCTACCTACTGCACTGAATGTAAGGATTGCCTCTTTCTTTCTGGATCCGCTTCAATTTTATTCTCGATATTACAAAGTCGCGCGATGTCTTAGTAAGTAAGCTAATTATCCACACTTTCGGCCGTTATTCAATGATGATTAAATTACAGAGCGATCGAAAAGTCAGGAGCAGTTTTAAAAATTTATCTCTCGGTGACCTTTGATCTTTGATATTCGCAGTTGTCATACGAATACTCAAGAGTGTCTGGAATTTTCAAGTATCAATACATAGACTTTATGCATATTTTGATTACAATTTCTGCTACCAGGTGACGCTCGCGTGTAATAAAATTTAAAGTTCTGGATGCCCACCAGTGGCAAAGCCATTTCCGTTCCCTGAACACTGGGAGTTCGGTCGTGGGTTCGCACCTCGTTCGGATCGGCTGGCCACGTGGAGTTTTCCGGGTTTTCTCCACGTATGTAACGTCTGAATAGAGGCCTGTTAACCTTAAAAGATATCCTGGAACTACTATTACGTGACAATTACTCCACACTTTACCACGAGGCGATATAGCCTACAAGCTCATGCCCAACTAGCCGACACAAGCAAGATAAGACAAAGTTCCCGATAACAAAGTAACGACACTTCTGTAGCTTTTGCCGATAATTGCTATCTGTGATTGGTTGAGAGAGTGTCACATGATAACAGGGCGCCATTTTCCTGTTAAATACCAGATAGAGGTCGTTGTTGCTTGTGTACTTAAAACGGCAAATACAGTACTGATGCAGTATAAATAAAATGTATTGTTATAAATGGTGGGTGAAAAATAACTAGACATCGAAAAATCGCTCTAATTTCTATACTTCTAATGAAAAGTGGGTGAAAATTATTTGGCTTGTACCTTATTAAATGGAAATGTGGATGCATGCCTTAAAGTTCAATTTGGGTACCGGCATTATCCACCAATAATGTTTCACGTTTTCCTTATGGACGGACGCCCATTTCTCTGTACTTGCGTAATTGAACTAGTGGTCATTTTAGCTTTGAGTGGCAATTCTTGATTGTTTCCGAACGGATTAAAGCATGACGTCCCTTTACCGTTTGCTATCATCTCTTCACAGCAGCCACTGATTTCTACATCTCATAGCATGCAGCAGTCTGAGCTTACTCCTGAACAGACAAGCAGTCGACCACCTTTATTCCACTGCGCGTGTAGCCTTTCTCGATCACTGTCAGCATCGTCGATGCACAATTTATAAAATTCCATTAATGGATATATATGCGCACATAAAATCTATTATAATTGCTTCATTATTACAAAAATTATGGTGATTCCTTAATGAGTAGTTAATTTCCATCCAACATGTATATCTATATTTAATATCAACTTCTAACTTGAACAGCAATATAAGAAATTTGTAATATTGCAACCATAAAACGTACCATACCCATTTATGTATTTACTTCATCTAACAAGTAATGTCTTTACGTTATGACACTTATATTGCATAGACACAGAATAGATAAGAACTTGTGTGAAGTGTTACTCTTTGTAACTTCTTTTAGCTCGTGTTACGTGAGAAGGGCGTAACATAGAGTCTGTATTCAGTTCCTATAAGTATGCTGTCACAGTGGAAGCTCTTGACACCTTAAACTATTATACTGTAAGGTGTCAAGAGTGCTCATTCAACGCCGTAAAATACTGTGTATCAGAGTCAATCTGTATAAACATTAGAATACGGGCCAACGACACTGTAAGAAAATTAGGTATTCGGTTTTATTTATTACAGTATACAAATAGAAAAGCTGGATTAATAAATCACAGGCTTGTAAAAATTAAATTTTCATGTTTTATTATTGTACTACTATTAAAACATATATTTATAATTTATTTAAGATGTTTATCCTTGTATTCTTTCCCTGTCAAGTGTGTTTGTTTGTGCAAAATTGTCCCACTCCGATTATTTCAAATAATCAATGCTCTACTATGAAGAGAATTTTGTTATACAGTATTAGTATTTGCTATAACAAAGTTTACTGAGTAATATATTTAACAAAATGCATTATAAATTACATTATTTTTGGGTTAATTAATCAGTCCAAAATATTAGTGTTGAGGCTTAACCAAAGTCTGATTGGTTCCACAAAATTTTAAATTAAATTATCCTGAAATACAAAAGCAAAGTAGTTTATTGACAATTTAGGAGGAAAAGTGGGCTTTCTGTTGATTTTCACGGGGAAATCAACAGAAAACAAATAAGTATATAAAGCAAAACAAAGGATTTTTGATGTCAGGAGTGGGGTCAGTCCCTAATATACGGTGTCCGTCTAAAACAAGTTTGTCCGCCGAAGACGGGTTCCTTCCGAGGAGACAAATTTAGGCGATGCTAGAATATATTAGCGTAACCATGGAAGGAGAAAACCCTAGAGCAGTTTTAGGTAACATAGGAAGTTTCCTTCCGCTATTACCTGCGTTTTTTGGCGATGCGGCAGGACTTAAGAGTATCCGAATTTTTTCGACTCGCTGGGAGACATAGCTAAGCTAGCGGCATGGACAAAAGCACAAACGTTGGCGGTAGCCAAGTTGAAACTTACAAGTATAGCTCGGGAATTTGTCCGAAAGGACCAGCGGATCAAGCAAGTGGAAGATTTTGATGAGTTCAAGCGGATCCTGATAGAGCGATTCGAACAAGTGTCTTTCTCCATTCAATAAAATAGATTCTACGCTTGCGTACAGGATCCGGATGAGGATGTCCAAACGTACGTTGTGCGCTTACAAGCCCTTGCTGCTGAAATTGAAATTCCCTAAGAGGGAGCAGATGCATCAGAAACCGCAATGATCAAGCGCATACAAGCCAAAGAGTTAGATGAGCGGCTGAAAGCCCGGGTTTTAAACGGAATAGATATCCGGAACAGACAACGGGTCATGTCACGGGAGCCAGCGACGTTCGATGACGCTCTCAAAGTAGCCATAAGTGAAGAAACTATAGAGAGTCTGACTGCCTCCAGAAGCAAATGTGATTCGATTCATGCGTCAAGGCCCTAAACCGAACTTACTAAGGGTGCGAAATGAAGGAACACCTAACCTAAATCGAATGACTTTGAACTGGTGTTAAATTTCTGAACTGTCAACAGACTGAATCATCAACAAGGAAACTGTGACGGTAGGTTAACAACCTCAACAAATCGTCACCATTGTAAATCGCGTCTGTGGTGCGGATAGCGCATGTAACGCGTCAACCAGTTGCACTTGTTACTTAAAAAATTATTGTCGGGTCAAAACCCATGTTAAAGAGAGAGGGTATTCTAAATTTTAAAATTATACTCGAAAGTATAATTTTAATGAAAGCGGCGAATGGTGTGAAATCCGCGAATCTGACGCAGTTGTCGGAAGAAAAACTATAAACAACTCCGTTAGAAAAACCGCTCCTTGTGAGAATTAGATCGGGGGTCACCGTTTGTGATAACAATTAGATGGGAAAGTTGACACATAGGTGTCAAGAACGCACCGTTATTGTCAATATTTGACGATCATGTGACTCCTTTCCCACCACAATCGAATCAAAGCTCGAGCCCCGGAAGCTCAGGGCGATACTTGTCAATACAACGGACCTCCATACCACGGACTCGAACGGATGAAAGGAGAAGACATCGGTAGAAGACAGAACACGGCTTTGAATTTCCATACTCATCGCCATACTACGATTCCTACGAACTATTCAACGCATACCATTCGTTCCCTCGTAGAGGTATTTTTATTAGAGCATTGTGCACTCTCTCTCTCTCTCTTTTCAGTTTGGTCTGATGGGATGTGGCGGCAATCTGCCAAGGAAGGATACTTCCTGGAAAGATTTACACGGGAAGTTGGTACTATTTATGTGTTAAACATGTAAGTAAACCTGGAAATTTCCATGCTGTCAGGTGCAAACCCACCACCAGTGTTTAGTGCTTTATCCACTCAGGTATTACAAGCTTTAAGGAACTCATATCGCACTGATACTTGGATATATATTTAATAAACTGATTTAAATATTGGTAAAACTTAAATTTATTTTGAAATAAAGGAAAAGAATCGATAAGGATTCGGCTCTTTATTATAATTTCTAGAAATTCTATATGATTAATTTAATAAGGAGCCGTAATTTTAATTCTAAAATATCCATTTAAATCTTGTTTAAACGTATATTTAATACTGCTTTCTTTTATGTTTGTAAAACGAATATAAAATATGGAATGATCAATTTTAATATTAATTAATCATAAAAATATTCATCGAATATGTAATAATTATAGGAAACAACAACAAATTTCTATGCTTAATTCCAATTTTATTTTATAACAGTTTTAATAGGGATAAAAAAAAAATTCGTTTTGAACTTTATCCCTGTTACATTATTATGAATTATTTCAAACATAATAATCATAATAGCACCAATAGTTGAAACAGTCGTAGAAACATTCGTAGTAAGGGCAATAGTCGTAATAATAATAATAATCATAATAATAATAATAATAATCGCCGTAATAACAATCACATAAGTCATAACAAAAACTATATAATAAAGTTAACAAAAAAGAATCATCATATCGACTTGTTGTAGATAGCGATTTTTTAATGTAATTTGGATCACGTAATCCTTCCGATTTCGATTTATCTTGATGAAGTTCGTCTTCGAGTGGTGATTTCTCCTTTCTCTCCATAGCTTCCGGCATTATTTTCCCGATTTCTTTCTTCATCCCATTTATCTAATAAGTGTTTAAAGTTATACGGGGTGGTCCAATGAAAACGAAACGGCAGAAATATCGTGTTCGTCCAAGCAAATCGCTCGGACAGGTCGATTTTATTCTCAAGAGGGATATCTTCAGCAATAAAGTTTTTGCTATTCTGAATACAACAGACAAGAAAAAATTTTAAAAACTCATTTATTTCTTATTAACTAAACAAACATTTATTTCAAATAAAGTAACAAACATAAGAAAAAGTTAGCAAGTATCCAATAAATGTTCGAATTGAACACCACATCTCTGTCGATTCATTTCTTACTTAAGTAATAATTTTTCCGAATAAAGTATAAATTTTTTCCGAAATAAATGTTTCTTTGGTTAATAAAAAAATGAATGAGTTTTTAAAATTTTTTTGTTGTCTATTGTATTCAGAATAGCAAAAACTTTATTGCTGAAGATATCCCTCTTGAGAATAAAATCGACCTTTCCGAGCGATTTGCTTGGACGAACACGATAACTCTGCCGTTTCGTTTTCGTTGGACCACCCCGTATTTAAACAATTAATGATTTTAATGCACTCAAGAAAGAAGAATTTACACATTTTTCACTCACATATTCTATTTTCTCTTATCTTTTAGATCTTATAAGAGGAGAGAGTGTGGAAATTTACACTACATTTAAACGGGTAAATGATACTTACGCGTTTCTTTTCTTGAAGACGATTCATGAAAGCATTCTTCTTAATGTCAGGTTTTGCTCGTTTGCCCTCTTTCTTTAATTCCTCTTTTAAATTATCCAATATTTCTCTCTCCTGTTAATTTAGAATTTAATTATAAATTTCAATCTGTAAAGAACTTTTAATTGTATTTATTCCACTAATTTCGTTTAAATTTTGCTTATTTAACTTTAATTTTTAACTCTATTCTATAAAAATTTCGCTTCCGAAATTATAAATACAATTAAAACCCGTGTAAACCGGAATCGCGCATCATCAAATTGTTTCCATTTAGGCAGATTTCTTTTATCGTGTTCGTTTTAGACAGGTTTTACTGTATTTTAAAATACACTAACCTTCATTAAAGCTTCTATTCTGTTGTTAGTTCTTCTTCCTTTGACTTCCTCATCCTGAGGAGCCTTAACTTCTTCTGCACTAATCACTGAAATATAAATTTTAAGATATTATAAATTAATTGTAAATATAATTAATTATTTGGCGATATTCCTGATATAATTAAAGGTCTGTAATAATAAACGTACCACAGATAATTGCTGCCAAAAAGAATAGAAGAGCGAGCTTCATATTAAAATGCCTGCTAGATGAACGTAATTAAGTTAAAATGTTGAATTTCAACACTTTTTATACGCTGTAACATGTGTTTTATTATAAAACAGCCACTTGTTTTCCAATTCTGTCAGCATTTTGTGTTGATGACGTAAGCATTTATTACTTTTATATAAGTGATTAATTTAAAATTTTACTAAATTTTCCATTTTAATGACATTTAACGCATAAATTTACGCAAAACTTTTAAATTTTAAATGAATTACTTGTTATAATTGTATGAATTATATCCAAACTAATGGAGTGATGTACGATAAAGTGTACAGTATCGGAATTGGAAAATCAAGAGCCCCATAGAAAAATTATTTATAGAACCCCACAAAAACTATATTTTCATTAAAATAACCCACATTAATTAGAAATAAGAGGTGGGCGTGAATATGGATTACCACACTTAGCATTTAGATATAAAATATTAACCGGTTTAAATTACATTGAGGATATATACTGTGTATAAGATTGCTAAAATAAGGCAGCTTAACACGTGGCCGATCTGCCAGGTGGGTCACTTCCCAGAAGAATTTTCTATGGAAAACTGGCCCCCATTTAAATGATACGTGAAAAAATCCGGAAAACTCCACGTGGTAGCATGTTAGTCGGGTGCGAATTCGCGATTAATTAACTTTAAAAATATTCATTTTAATTTAATATTAAGTGCAACGCGATTTAATACTTTTATTATTATTGTTTTTTATATTAATTAACTTTGAAAATATTTTACGAATTTATAATAATTAAGAACAGTTTTGCATTTTAATCATAACTTTATTTTATAGCTGTTTTGAGAGGGTTATAAGGCCTCACTTTAGCCTTAACGATATCAATAATTACTAACATACAAAGTCATAATTTTCATACCAGTCACAATAATAGTATATGTAACAGTAGTCGTAACATGTAAGATTACTGTCATCCTCATTTATGAATCCATCGCCATTAACATCCTGTCTAGACTTGGAATCACGTCGAACTTCCCAGTTTTCCCATTTGTAATCATCTTCATAATGATCATCCCAATTGTAGTCATCCCCATAATGATCATCCCAATTGTAGTCATCCCAATCATCATCAACAGATTAATACAATTCATAAGTATACTTCTAGGTATCAACACAAGAACCATAGCCATGAATATCAGTGCAAGTTAATTCTCTATTTTAAAGGGAAATTGTATTGTACTGTATTTTGTTATATAATACGGATTGTTTATGCCCATTCTTTTAGATTCGGACATATCTTGACGGCCTTTAAAATGTTTCAATGGGTTGTCACTCTTCTTCAAGACTTCTGACTTGCCTTTCATTAACTTCTGGATTGTATTTTTCACTCGTCCCGTCTAAAAATTATAATTTTGAAAGATAAGTGCAGATAAAAAGGATCAATTTTATCACATAAGTGTAAGAAGAAATACAATTTTTAATTATCCGAGCCTACCCATCCTTTAGAACAGAACTAAAGTGATGGAGTAAGGCAATACAACACATGAATTTCTGATTACCCTGCTTCGTTAGTATTTACCTTTGGTATTTACCAAAGGTAAATACTCTTTGATTGTTCGCATTTCCTTGTTAGTCCTTTTTCCTTTGGCTTTCTCATTCTGACGACGTTTATCTTCCGAGCTAATCACTGGAATAAATATTTTATAACCTTGTAAATTAACTCTAAACGTAAATAACAATTATAAATAAGATATTTAGCAATAAATTTACCACAAACAACAGCTACAAACAGCAATAGCAAAACGATCTTCATGTTGAATTAGTTGTTCGCTGAACTTCAACACATCCTTGAATCCCAACGCTTTTTTATACAATTTGGCATGTGTTTTAACACATACAAGGTATTTTTTATTCGTCAATTGCTGACAATTTTTCGTGTTGGTGACGAAATCATTGTAGTTTCCACGGACGTGATTTAGTTTAAAATTTCCAGAGGTTTTCCATTAATTTCGGTATTCTAATCAATGATATTCACGGGATTAATTGATTGAGAATCGATATTTACTTTCTAAATGACGAAAATAATTGTATTTAACACGTTAACATTTAAATTATTTTGTTTACTTTTATAAATTTTGTTCTCCTAGAATTCATTTGATTAAATGGTTAAATGTGGTTTGAATTAATTTCATATGAAGCTGAATATAACACTTCCTTAGTTGAGCCTTTCAATTTATTTATGTACAGGGCTGAACCTTTTATAACGGCCAACTCCTAATAGCGGCTATTTTTCTAGGAACTATTCCTAACATTACAAATATTCAAAACAACCTCCAAACAACGGACACTTTTAGGTCTCCATCAGTGACCGTCTATGAAAAGTTTTACTGTATTAATTTAATTGTATTTGGTGTATTGTCAAGTCACTTGCTTTAATTTACTTCGAATATTAAAACACAAGCGCTAACACACAATATGGCACACAACCACGACATCAGCACCTGTGCATTTACTGTTAAAGCTTATTACTTATTTAATAAATAATATTAATTTTTAAAGCATAAATAATTTGCATCTTAAAATTGAGTGTAATATATACTGTTAGAATAATTTAAAATATAGGAAAATAATAATTTTCTGTATTTTCTATGGGCTAAAATATGAGTAGATTTCAGAAAGACTTTTAGAGCATTTAAGTGCTTACAAGTCGACCCCCCTACAACACTGTTGATTATTTCGTTTTATATGAATTCCATGTTGTACGAGTCATTTCGATTTTACAAATACATGAGCTGTTCACAGCCCGGCACACGTATTTGTAAAATTTAAGTGACTCGTACAACATGGAATTCGTATAAAGCGGAATCATTAACAGTGTTATAGGGGGGGTCGACTGGTATTTTAAAATAAAGGCAGATTGGAGACAATGATTAATTACACTCAAATCACATTTAGTGAATTGATTTTGATATATAAATCTATTCTACATTTTCGATTTCGACCATTAATTATACCCAGTGATAAATTAACACATCATTAGAACCAGCACTTTACTGTTGAGCTCATCTCTTAACAATTTGCCAGACTTAATATTTAATTTAAGTATATTTAATCCTTAAGAAAGTGTGTGATATTCTAACACGTAAATACGTCCACCTAATTAATATATAATTTAAAAAATGCAGAAAAATAGTAAAATTTTTATATTTACTTACGTAAGAGCCTGAACACAGCAGGTGATTTGTGCTGAAAACTTACATTATATAATACACTAGGATGGTGTTAATATAATTTAATAAATATTTAATTAATAAAAGGAACCATCAAATGTTCAGGATACAAATTGATATATTTATAAAGTTTTATTTATCGATTAGAGCCAGGGACCAGCACGACGTAGTATCCTACGTTTGTGCTGGTCCGTAAATGATCCGTATTAATTACGTTTTCCATTCGAGTGAGCCTAATTTGCAGTGCGGATGATCAGCACGGAGAGGAATAGAAAATGGTCACTGGTTTGCATTATCTATGATAAATTAAGAGGTATTAAACGAGTTCACACTGGGACCCGCATGATGAAAGAGAAAGATACTAAATAGTATGGAATTCAGATAGCTAAATGATAATCGAGACCATATATACAAAGCTTAGTGGCTAGAGGCCCGATAAACTGTATACGAAATTCCGGTGTGGACCGGAAATCACTTTATTTTAATTCAAAATTTTCTCGAGAACGGAGTTAGATAGAAGACAAGCATGACTCGATTGTTATCAGGAGAAATGTGATGTACAGGAGCAAGACACTACTGGCTCTCATTCTGAAGGTCAACCTTCAATTTGTCAAATTATCTGCACTGGTGTTAAGAGAATTACAATTATTTATATTATATTTTACTCTGGATGTATTCTTCTAAAAGATAAAAGTTCGCGTGAACACACAATTATAGTGCTACATCGGAACTCGATGCCTCAAAAGTCGAACTTTTCTTGGAACTCAACAAAGACGGCCATACTGTAAGGTATATGATATCTGTACGAGTACGTATGATGTACCAATGTTGACGTATTAGGTTAATTTTTATTTTTGTCTATTGAATGTACAGTACGTTCTTATATGCGAGAATATAAAAATTTCCAGAAAAAATTTCGCGTTTTTAGCAACAGGTCGGGGATCAATGGTGATGCGAGTCCACCAGTTTGGACCTATCAGAAATCAGAATTTTAGGGTAAAATCGTATAAAAGGCCGGGTTTTCAAGGTCTCGAGGAGGTCGACATCGAAGTTTCTTCTCCTGAGAATTGTCAGAAAAGACTAACCATAGTGATTGAGAACTGAAGATCGTCCAATCGACCAACAACTAGGAATCATCTTCCCATGGTTGCCTGTAAACGACTATGCTCCAGTGATCAAGACCATCAACCCTTCAGTGTTAACTTTCAGGACGTCTTCACTTCGGGCTGCTCGACTTCCAAAGCCAACGTTTTTACGGGTCAACAGCACGAACTTTCCGTTTTGTGGCATCATTCCGAAAAATCTCCGCTGTACCTCTTGTAAGCATTGATCCCTATTTAGGTATTACAAACTTGAAAGAAACCCGGAAAAATCTATTTAGTCAATCTATTAGTGAAGCGCGAATCCACGATCCACCAGTGTTAAGTGGTTTTATTCACTCGCCTACTGGTGGACTCTCAAGATTAAGGAAAGACAGACAACGAATGCCAAGGTTTGCCATTTGAAAATTGCAGACCAAAGAATCGGATGCTGTAAAAATGTAAAAGAAACTAACCCCCATTTCAGTGACACGTGAACCCGCGATTAATACTACCAATGTTCGGTGGTCAAATCCACTCTGCCACTGGTGTACAGTAATACAGTACACTAGTGTATAAAGGAAGAGTGTACAAATTACGTCATACGTCATTACGGAAATGCGTCATAGATTATGGGAGCATTACTTCTATACTCGAAAGATATTTATAAAATAATATTTTAAATTAGTTTTTTTTATGTTTAAAACCTTAAAAAATATTTTTATTTTTATTTAATATTAAGTGTAACGCGATATAATACTTTTATTATTATTGTTGTTTTTTTTTCATATTAATTAACTGTGAAAATATTTTACGAATTTATAATAATTAAGAACAGTTTTGCATTTTAATCATAACTTTATTTTATAGCAGTTTTGATAGGGATTATAAATTTAATTATAATTATAAGGCATCACTTTAGCCTTAACAATAGCAATGATTACTAACACACAAAGCCATTTTCATCCCAGTCACAAAAATAAACTAAGTAACAGTAGTCGTAACATGTAAAATTACCGTCGTCCTCGTTTATGACTCCGTCGCCATTATAATCAAGTCTAGATTCAGAATCACTACGATCTTCCCGATCTTCCGAATTATAATTATTATCATCTTCAACAGAATAATACGTATAATAATCGCAACTATCAGAACAAGAACAGTAACCATAGCCATAAAAATCATAGCAAGTTGGTTCTCTAACTAATTTAAAGGGAAATTGTATTGTGCCGTATTCTGTTATATAATACGGGTTGTCCATTCCCATTCTTTCAGATTCGGACATATCTTGACGGCCTTTAAAATGTTCCAGTGAGTTGTCACCTTTCTTCAATGCTTCTGGCTTGCCTTTTATTAACTTCTCATTTGCATCTTTTACTCTGCCCGTCTGAAAATTATAATTTTGAAAGTATAAGTACAGATAAAAAGATCAATATTTCCATATAAGTGTAGAAGGAATTAATATTTTTAATCATCTAACTCATTAGAAATAGAAAAAGATTGGAGTGATGGAGTAAGGAAATGCAACGCATCAATATCGGATTACACTACTTCATTAGCTCACCAGTGACCGAGTTGCTAAACTAATGAACACTAGTAATGGGTTCGCATCTGACAAACGGGCAGGCCACTTGAATTTTCCGAGTATTTTTTATCTGTGCAACGTTTTCCATTGACAGTTCTATCGACAAGCACCCCCTTGGTAACTAGCCTAAGTGAACCCAATTTCTTAGAGACTAAACGGACCACTTTCGAGTGTTGAACACTCGAAGAACATCCAGAAAACTCCACGATGCAAGCCCGTTATTCAGATACAAATCCAAGACTAGTATTCATTGGTTTTATGTACTCGACCACTAGTGAGCAAATGAAGTCGGGTGGTCAAGGACTAGAGAAGAGAAAGTGAAGTATTAATTAGGAAAAAATATTATTAAATAACTATAGATATACGTATCAAGTGATATTGCTTATTAATGTACTTACAGATTTCTGTTTTTGAAGAAGTTCACTTAGAAAAGGAATCTCGTCCTTATTATTAGGCATTACTCTTCCTTTCAAATTGCTTCGTTTATAATTTGGCTAACAAATATAAAAGGTATTGTTTTTTTAATTATTTTATTAAAATATTAGCATTTATTAGCACGAAGTTTACTTCTAAATTTGGGATATTTACTTTTTCCATTGCTCCCATTTTCTTGAAAATCCCCAACCCTCTGGCTTTCTCATTCTCGCGACCTTTAGCTTCGGAGCTGATCACTGAAATAAATATTTTAGAACATTATACATTAAATCTAAACATAATTAAGGTATAAGTTAAGATATTTAGCAATAAATTTACCACAAACAACCGCTANTAATAAACGTACCACAGATAATTGCTGCCAAAAAGAATAGAAGAGCGAGCTTCATATTAAAATGCCTGCTAGATGAACGTAATTAAGTTAAAATGATGATTTTCAACACTTTTTATACGCTGTAACATGTGTTTTATTATAAAACAGCCACTTGTTTTCCAATTCTGTCAGCATTTTGTGTTGATGACGTAAGCATTTATTACTTTTATATAAGTGATTAATTTAAAATTTTACTAAATTTTCCATTTTAATGACATTTAACGCATAAATTTACGCAAAACTTTTAAATTTTAAATGAATTACTTGTTATAATTGTATGAATTATATCCAAACTAATGGAGTGATGTACGATAAAGTGTACAGTATCGGAATTGGAAAATCAAGAGCCCCATAGAAAAATTATTTATAGAACCCCACAAAAACTATATTTTCATTAAAATAACCCACATTAATTAGAAATAAGAGGTGGGCGTGAATATGGATTACCACACTTAGCATTTAGATATAAAATATTAACCGGTTTAAATTACATTGAGGATATATACTGTGTATAAGATTGCTAAAATAAGGCAGCTTAACACGTGGCCGATCTGCCAGGTGGGTCACTTCCCAGAAGAATTTTCTATGGAAAACTGGCCCCCATTTAAATGATACGTGAAAAAATCCGGAAAACTCCACGTGGTAGCATGTTAGTCGGGTGCGAATTCGCGATTAATTAACTTTAAAAATATTCATTTTAATTTAATATTAAGTGCAACGCGATTTAATACTTTTATTATTATTGTTTTTTATATTAATTAACTTTGAAAATATTTTACGAATTTATAATAATTAAGAACAGTTTTGCATTTTAATCATAACTTTATTTTATAGCTGTTTTGAGAGGGTTATAAGGCCTCACTTTAGCCTTAACGATATCAATAATTACTAACATACAAAGTCATAATTTTCATACCAGTCACAATAATAGTATATGTAACAGTAGTCGTAACATGTAAGATTACTGTCATCCTCATTTATGAATCCATCGCCATTAACATCCTGTCTAGACTTGGAATCACGTCGAACTTCCCAGTTTTCCCATTTGTAATCATCTTCATAATGATCATCCCAATTGTAGTCATCCCCATAATGATCATCCCAATTGTAGTCATCCCCATAATGATCATCCCAATTGTAGTCATCCCAATCATCATCAACAGATTAATACAATTCATAAGTATACTTCTAGGTATCAACACAAGAACCATAGCCATGAATATCAGTGCAAGTTAATTCTCTATTTTAAAGGGAAATTGTATTGTACTGTATTTTGTTATATAATACGGATTGTTTATGCCCATTCTTTTAGATTCGGACATATCTTGACGGCCTTTAAAATGTTTCAATGGGTTGTCACTCTTCTTCAAGACTTCTGACTTGCCTTTCATTAACTTCTGGATTGTATTTTTCACTCGTCCCGTCTAAAAATTATAATTTTGAAAGATAAGTGCAGATAAAAAGGATCAATTTTATCACATAAGTGTAAGAAGAAATACAATTTTTAATTATCCGAGCCTACCCATCCTTTAGAACAGAACTAAAGTGATGGAGTAAGGCAATACAACACATGAATTTCTGATTACCCTGCTTCGTTAGTATTTACCTTTGGTATTTACCAAAGGTAAATACTCTTTGATTGTTAGTCCTTTTTCCTTTGGCTTTCTCATTCTGACGACGTTTATCTTCCGAGCTAATCACTGGAATAAATATTTTATAACCTTATAAATTAATTAACTCTAAACGTAAATAACAATTATAAATAAGATATTTAGCAATAAATTTACCACAAACAACAGCTACAAACAGCAATAGCAAAACGATCTTCATGTTGAATTAGTTGTTCGCTGAACTTCAACACATCCTTGAATCCCAACGCTTTTTTATACAATTTGGCATGTGTTTTAACACATACAAGGTATTTTTTATTCGTCAATTGCTGACAATTTTTCGTGTTGGTGACGAAATCATTGTAGTTTCCACGGACGTGATTTAGTTTAAAATTTCCAGAAGTTTTCCATTAATTTCGGTATTCTAATCAATGATATTCACGGGATTAATTGATTGAGAATCGATATTTACTTTCTAAATGACGAAAATAATTGTATTTAACACGTTAAAATTTAAATTATTTTATTTAAATTTTATAAATTTTATTCTGCTAGAATTCATTTGATTAAATGGTTAAATGTGGTTTGAATTAATTTCATATGAAGCTGAATATAACACTTCCTTAGTTGAGTTTTTCAATTTATTTATGTACAGGGCTGAACCTTTTATAACGGCCAACTCCTAATAGCGGCTATTTTTCTAGGAACTATTCCTAACATTACAAATATTCAAAACAACCTCCAAACAACGGACACTTTTAGGTCTCCATCAGTGACCGTCTATGAAAAGTTTTACTGTATTAATTTAATTGTATTTGGTGTATTGTCAAGTCACTTGCTTTAATTTACTTCGAATATTAAAACACAAGCGCTAACACACAATATGGCACACAACCACGACATCAGCACCTGTGCATTTACTGTTAAAGCTTATTACTTATTTAATAAATAATATTAATTTTTAAAGCATAAATAATTTGCATCTTAAAATTGAGTGTAATATATACTGTTAGAATAATTTAAAATATAGGAAAATAATAATTTTCTGTATTTTCTATGGGCTAAAATATGAGTAGATTTCAGAAAGACTTTTAGAGCATTTAAGTGCTTACAAGTCGACCCCCCTACAACACTGTTGATTATTTCGTTTTATATGAATTCCATGTTGTACGAGTCATTTCGATTTTACAAATACATGAGCTGTTCACAGCCCGGCACACGTATTTGTAAAATTTAAGTGACTCGTACAACATGGAATTCGTATAAAGCGGAATCATTAACAGTGTTATAGGGGGAGTCGACTGGTATTTTAAAATAAAGGCAGATTGGAGACAATGATTAATTACACTCAAATCACATTTAGTGAATTGATTTTGATATATAAATCTATTCTACATTTTCGATTTCGACCATTAATTATACCCAGTGATAAATTAACACATCATTAGAACCAGCACTTTACTGTTGAGCTCATCTCTTAACAATTTGCCAGACTTAATATTTAATTTAAGTATATTTAATCCTTAAGAAAGTGTGTGATATTCTAACACGTAAATACGTCCACCTAATTAATATATAATTTAAAAAATGCAGAAAAATAGTAAAATTTTTATATTTATTTACTTACGTAAGAGCCTGAATACAGCAGGTGATTTATGCTGAAAACTTACATTATATAATACACCAGAAGGATGTTAATATAATTTAATAAATGTTTAATTAATAAAAGGAACCATCAAATGTTCAGGATACAAATTGACATATTTAATTATTTAAAATTTTATTTATCGATTGAAGCCAGGCACCAGCACAAAGTAGGATCCTACGTTGTGCTGGTCCGTAAATGATCCGTATTAATTACGTTTTCCATTCGAGTGAGCCTAATTTGCAGTGCGGATGATCAGCACGGAGAGGAATAGAAAATGGTCACTGGTTTGCATTATCTATGATAAATTAAGAGGTATTAAACGAGTTCACACTGGGACCCGCATGATGAAAGAGAAAGATACTAAATAGTATGGAATTCAGATAGCTAAATGATAATCGAGACCATATATACAAAGCTTAGTGGCTAGAGGCCCGATAAACTGTATACGAAATTCCGGTGTGGACCGGAAATCACTTTATTTTAATTCAAAATTTTCTCGAGAACGGAGTTAGATAGAAGACAAGCATGACTCGATTGTTATCAGGAGAAATGTGATGTACAGGAGCAAGACACTACTGGCTCTCATTCTGAAGGTCAACCTTCAATTTGTCAAATTATCTGCACTGGTGTTAAGAGAATTACAATTATTTATATTATATTTTACTCTGGATATATTCTTCTAAAAGATAAAAGTTCGCGTGAACACATAATTATAGTGCTACATCGGAACTCGTACACCTCAAAAGTCGAACTTTTCTTGGAACTCAACAAAGACGGCCATACTGTAAGGTATATGATATCTGTACGAGTACGTATGATGTACCAATGTTGACGTATTAGGTTAATTTTTATTTTTGTCTATTGAATGTACAGTACGTTCTTATATGCGAGAATATAAAAATTTCCAGAAAAAATTTCGCGTTTTTAGCAACAGGTCGGGGATCAATGGTGATGCGAGTCCACCAGTTTGGACCTATCAGAAATCAGAATTTTAGGGTAAAATCGTATAAAAGGCCGGGTTTTCAAGGTCTCGAGGAGGTCGACATCGAAGTTTCTTCTCCTGAGAATTGTCAGAAAAGACTAACCATAGTGATTGAGAACTGAAGATCGTCCAATCGACCAACAACTAGGAATCATCTTCCCATGGTTGCCTGTAAACGACTATGCTCCAGTGATCAAGATCATCCACCCTTCAGTGTTAACTTTCAGGACGTCTTCACTTCGGGCTGCTCGACTTCCAAAGCCAACGTTTTTACGGGTCAACAGCACGAACTTTCCGTTTTGTGGCATCATTCCGAAAAATCTCCGCTGTACCTCTTGTAAGCATTGATCCCTATTTAGGTATTACAAACTTGAAAGAAACCCGGAAAAATCTATTTAGTCAATCTATTAGTGAAGCGCGAATCCACGATCCACCAGTGTTAAGTGGTTTTATTCACTCGCCTACTGGTGGACTCTCAAGATTAAGGAAAGACAGACAACGAATGCCAAGGTTTGCCATTTGAAAATTGCAGACCAAAGAATCGGATGCTGTAAAAATGTAAAAGAAACTAACCCCCATTTCAGTGACACGTGAACCCGCGATTAATACTACCAATGTTCGGTGGTCAAATCCACTCTGCCACTGGTGTACAGTAATACAGTACACTAGTGTATAAAGGAAGAGTGTACAAATTACGTCATACGTCATTACGGAAATGCGTCATAGATTATGGGAGCATTACTTCTATACTCGAAAGATATTTATAAAATAATATTTTAAATTAGTTTTTTTTATGTTTAAAACCTTAAAAAATATTTTTATTTTTATTTAATATTAAGTGTAACGCGATATAATACTTTTATTATTATTGTTGTTTTTTTTCATATTAATTAACTGTGAAAATATTTTACGAATTTATAATAATTAAGAACAGTTTTGCATTTTAATCATAACTTTATTTTATAGCAGTTTTGATAGGGATTATAAATTTAATTATAATTATAAGGCATCACTTTAGCCTTAACAATAGCAATGATTACTAACACACAAAGCCATTTTCATCCCAGTCACAAAAATAAACTAAGTAACAGTAGTCGTAACATGTAAAATTACCGTCGTCCTCGTTTATGACTCCGTCGCCATTATAATCAAGTCTAGATTCAGAATCACTACGATCTTCCCGATCTTCCGAATTATAATTATTATCATCTTCAACAGAATAATACGTATAATAATCGCAACTATCAGAACAAGAACAGTAACCATAGCCATAAAAATCATAGCAAGTTGGTTCTCTAACTAATTTAAAGGGAAATTGTATTGTGCCGTATTCTGTTATATAATACGGGTTGTCCATTCCCATTCTTTCAGATTCGGACATATCTTGACGGCCTTTAAAATGTTCCAGTGAGTTGTCACCTTTCTTCAATGCTTCTGGCTTGCCTTTTATTAACTTCTCATTTGCATCTTTCACTCTGCCCGTCTGAAAATTATAATTTTGAAAGTATAAGTACAGATAAAAAGATCAATATTTCCATATAAGTGTAGAAGGAATTAATATTTTTAATCATCTAACTCATTAGAAATAGAAAAAGATTGGAGTGATGGAGTAAGGAAATGCAACGCATCAATATCGGATTACACTACTTCATTAGCTCACCAGTGACCGAGTTGCTAAACTAATGAACACTAGTAATGGGTTCGCATCTGACAAACGGGCAGGCCACTTGAATTTTCCGAGTATTTTTTATCTGTGCAACGTTTTCCATTGACAGTTCTATCGACAAGCATCCCCTTGGTAGCTAGCCTAAGTGAACCCAATCTCTTAGAGACTAAACGGACCGCTTTCGAGTGTTGAACACTCGAAGAACATCCAGAAAACTCCACGATGCAAGCCCGTTATTCAGATACAAATCCAAGACTAGTATTCATTGGTTTTATGTACTCGACCACTAGTGAGCAAATGAAGTCGGGTGGTCAAGGACTAGAGAAGAGAAAGTGAAGTATTAATTAGGAAAAAATATTATTAAATAACTATAGATATACGTATCAAGTGATATTGCTTATTAATATGCTTACAGATTTCTTTTCTTGAAGAAGTTCACTCAGGAAAGGAAACTCGTCCTCATTATTAGGCATTACTCTTCCTTTCAATTTTCTTCGTATATAATTTGGCTACAAAATATAAAAGTTATCGGTTTTTTTTTTATTATTTTACTAAAATATTAACATTTATTAGCACAAAGTTTACATCTAAATTTGGGATATTTACTTTTTCCATTGCTCCCATTTTCTTGAAAATCCCCATCCCTCTGGCTTTCTCATTTTCACGACCTTTAGCTTGGGAGTTGATCACTGCAATAAATATTTTAGGACATTATAAATTAATTCTAAACATAATTAACAACTATAAGTACGTATAAGTTAAGATATTTAGCAATAAATTTACCACAAACAACCGCTACAAACAGCAATAGCAAAGCGATCTTCATGTTGAATTAGTTGTTCGCCGAACATCGACACATCCTTGAATCCCAACGCTCTTTTATACAACTTGACACGTGTTAATCCCCCACACAAGGTGTTTCTATTCGTCAATTACTGTCGAGTGTTCGTATTGATGACGAAATCACTGCAGCTTGCATGGACGTGATTTTGTTTAAAATTTCTAAAATTTCATTTTATTTTTGATCTTCTCATTAATGATATTCACTAGATTTAATTGATTCGTCATCGATATTTAATTTGTAAACGGCGAAATAACTGTATATAATGCATTAAAATTTAAATAATTTTATTTAGTTTTATAAGTTTTATTCTCCCAGAATTTAACAAAACTTTAAAGTTTCGCTATATTAATTTTATTACTATTTGGCATATTCTCAAGTCATTTGCTTTAATTTACTTCGAATATTAAAACACAGGCGCTAACACACAATATGGCACACAACCACAACATCAGCACCTGTGCATTTACTCTGACGTGTATTCACTAGTTAAACTTTATTATTTATTTAATAAATAAAATTAGTTTTTAGAGCATAAATAATTTGCATCTTAAAATTGAGTGTAATATATATTGTTAGAATAATTTAAAATGTAGTCAAATAATAATTTTTTGTATTTTCTATGGGCTAAAATATGAGTAGATTTGAGAAAGACCTTATAAAACATTTAAATGTTTATTTTAAAGCAAGGGCAGATTGGAGACAATATATTTTAATAAATATTTAATTAATAAAAGGAACCATCAAATGTTCAGGATACAAATTGATATATTTAATTATTTAAAGTTTTATTTATCGATTAGAGCCAGGCACCAGCACAACGTAGGCTAAATGACCGTTCTTTATTACATTTTCCAGTCGAGTGAGCCTGATTTGCAACGGGGATGATCAGCACGGAAAGGAATAGAGAATGGTCCCTGGTTTGCATTATCTATTATAAATTAAGGGGTATTAAACGAGTTCACACTGGGACCCGCATGAATGTAGGCTTTAGATAAAGTAGGCAGTTGCCTACAGCCCAGATTTGATAGCGATTTACGAATCGCTTTGTAAATTAAATGTAAATAAGTACAATTTTAAGTAAGTAGTAAATAATGTATACATTGGAAGTTTTTCCACAGGGCTCCACACAAAATAAGTTCCTTTTTGAAGGGATAAATCCTAAGTTTTGCTTGGAACACAAAAATAAATTGTACTGGTGTATAATTTATTAGATTTTATTAATATAAATAAGTTTATTATTTAAAATAGAAGTTTAAAAATTAGATTTCAATGTTAATTTATAAAAATAAAAAAAACAGGCAACACGTATAGCGTTGAATAAACAGGTATTGAATGTATTTTACTGTACAGTACATATAGTAATTGCGGGCACGGAAACTTTCATTTTTTTTAGAAGAATATATCCAGAGTAAAATATAATATGAAGAATTGTAATTCTCTTAGGACTAGAGCAGATAATTTGGCAAATGAAGGTCTTTTAACACCTTCAAAATGAGAGCCAGTAGTGTCTTGCTCCTGTACATCACACTTCTCCTGATAGCATTCGAGTCATGCTTGTCTTCTATCTAATTACTTTGTCGAGAAAATTTTGAATTGAAATAAAGTGATTTCCGGTCCACACCGGAATTTCGTATACAGTTTATCGGGCCTCTAGTCACTAAGCTTTCTACATATGGTCTCGATTATCATTTATCTATTTGAATTCCATACTGTTTAGTATCTTTCCCTATCATCCCCATGTTCGTGATGAAAACCTTCTCTCACTGTCTCCTTCGTTTTCAAGGGAAAAAATCAGATGAGAATGTGGAAAGCGTAATTTCAGCAACATTTCTCTACCAGATATGATGCATATTGGTACTCTAACTAATTTAAAGGGAAATTGTATTGTGCCGTATTCTGTTATATAATACGGGTTGTCCATTCCCATTCTTTCAGATTCGGACATATCTTGACGGCCTTTAAAATGTTCCAGTGAGTTGTCACCTTTCTTCAATGCTTCTGGCTTGCCTTTTATTAACTTCTCATTTGCATCTTTTACTCTGCCCGTCTGAAAATTATAATTTTGAAAGTATAAGTACAGATAAAAAGATCAATATTTCCATATAAGTGTAGAAGGAATTAATATTTTTAATCATCTAACTCATTAGAAATAGAAAAAGATTGGAGTGATGGAGTAAGGAAATGCAACGCATCAATTTCGGATTACACTACTTCATTAGCTCACCAGTGACCGAGTTGCTAAACTAATGAACACTAGTAATGGGTTCGCATCTGACAAACGGGCAGGCCACTTGAATTTTCCGAGTATTTTTTATCTGTGCAACGTTTTCCATTGACAGTTCTATCGACAAGCACCCCCTTGGTAACTAGCCTAAGTGAACCCAATTTCTTAGAGACTAAACGGACCACTTTCGAGTGTTGAACACTCGAAGAACATCCAGAAAACTCCACGATGCAAGCCCGTTATTCAGATACAAATCCAAGACTAGTATTCATTGGTTTTATGTACTCGACCACTAGTGAGCAAATGAAGTCGGGTGGTCAAGGACTAGAGAAGAGAAAGTGAAGTATTAATTAGGAAAAAATATTATTAAATAACTATAGATATACGTATCAAGTGATATTGCTTATTAATATGCTTACAGATTTCTTTTCTTGAAGAAGTTCACTCAGGAAAGGAAACTCGTCCTCATTATTAGGCATTACTCTTCCTTTCAATTTTCTTCGTATATAATTTGGCTACAAAATATAAAAGTTATCGGTTTTTTTTTTATTATTTTACTAAAATATTAACATTTATTAGCACAAAGTTTACATCTAAATTTGGGATATTTACTTTTTCCATTGCTCCCATTTTCTTGAAAATCCCCATCCCTCTGGCTTTCTCATTTTCACGACCTTTAGCTTGGGAGTTGATCACTGCAATAAATATTTTAGGACATTATAAATTAATTCTAAACATAATTAACAACTATAAGTACGTATAAGTTAAGATATTTAGCAATAAATTTACCACAAACAACCGCTACAAACAGCAATAGCAAAGCGATCTTCATGNGAAACGATGGCAATTAACACGAAATTGTTCATTTTAAATGCTGCTGCTCTTCAGTTAAAATTCTACAACACTGATTTATCGACACCTGTTTCCCCCTATCTTAACTAGGTATTTACACCTGCTAGCCACTTGTCAGCCAATTTTTTAAATTGTAGTGACGAATAATTTATGTGTTTTAAGCATTGTTTTTTAAGTTAATTTCCTCCCTGTAAGTAGGCCTTGATTGGAGGGTCAACAGGTCACTTGATTTCATCCCTAGACACAGAAGAGGTCTTAAAATTTACTCTTAATTATGTGATTAAAAAAAAGCTACTTTATTTATAACATTAGTCGTGGGTTCGTACCTCGCCAACGGACTGGCTACGTGGCTACGAGTTTTCTTCGCGTGTCTAAAGGGATTTAAACGTGTTATCACCCCTTTAAATTCGTTGAACTTTCAATAAATAACTAGAAAATCCTATGGGCCTATACATTATATGGAAACTGAAAAAAATATCAAATGATTTCTCAATTACCTCACTTTTAATTGTTTATAAATTTATGACGTTTTGTTTTAAATTTATTTGTTATTTTTTTAGTTGTTTGCGTAATACTTTCTACTACGAAAGCAACACTCTCTTACGTATTTATATGTTTTAGAAAATAAGTAATAGAAAATGTAAACTAAATGTAAACTTTAGTACATTAATAAGCAATATCACTTGATACATATACCTATAATCCTTTTAATTGCGCCTTTTCGTAATTAAGACTCCACTATTTCTGTTCCGATCTTTGATTACCCCTACTTCGTCAGCTCACCCATGGCCTAATAGTTAAATCACTGAACACCGGTCATGCATTTGTACCTGACCAACGTGCTGACAGTGTGGAGTTTTCCGGGTTTTCTTAGTGTTTTTAACACCCGAATGGATCTAGTTTGGGCTCCAAGGGATTAGCCCATTTGGGCGATATGATTTCTTGGCAGCTCGCCAACTTGTTACATTGTCTTACTCCATTACTGGAATCCTTTTCTTATCCTTGAAAAAGTGACTATTTTTATCTGCACTTATACTTTCAAAATTATAATTTTTAGACGGGGCCAGCGAAAAATGTAAACCAGAAGTTAATGAAAGGCATGCCAGAAGCCTTGAAGAAGAGTGACAACCCATTGAAACATTTTAAAGGCCGTCAAGATATGTCCGAATCTGAAAGAATGGGTATAAACAATCAGCATACAACATATGGTTATGCACAAATTCCCATTACAATAGTTACAGAATCATCTTGCTATAATATGTACGATTATGGTTTTTGTTGTGGTTATTGCACGGCCGAGGATTATTATGATTATTGGTATGATGATGATGATTCGGATGATGATGATGATTCGGATGATGGTGATGATTCTGATGATGGTGATTGGTATGATGATTATTGGTATGATGATACTTTATTTATAGACGGAAACTTGTTTTCCTATAGTAATCTTACTTGTTACGATTACTGTTACTTGTGCTATTTTTGTTACTGGGATGGTTCAGGATACTGGTGTGAGTAATTGTTAATGTTACTGGGGCTAAACTAAGGCCCAAAAATGTAATTGAGAGATAAAACTAAATTAATTATCTCTCTCGAAACTGTTATAAAATAAAATGAAGTTAAAATATAAAACTCTTTTTATTTGTTATAAATTCGTGAAATATTTTCACAGTTAATTAATATATGAAAACAAACAACAACAATAATAAAAGTATTAAATCAAATAGCACTTAACATTAAATTAAAATAAATATTTTTTTTATGTTTTAAATATAATACAAAACAATTTAAATTATTATTTTTAAAAGGTCTTTAAATATATTTTTGACTAAAGTTGTAATACTCTTACAATTTATGACGCTCTTCTTGTAATTTGTAATGATTAAACACTTAACTTCTGGTCTACCAGTGGCATAGTGGGTGAAGCCACTGAACACTTGTAGTTTGTCGCGGGTTCACTCCTGATGAAGATGCTGGCCACGTGGAGTTTTTCCTGTTTTCTCCACGTGTCAAACACTTGAACGGGTTTAGATTTCCATTCATAGTCCTCCTTAAAGGAACACCTCGTAGCAGATTGCCTTATTCTAGCAATCCAAATCCTCTATTAATCATTAATTTACTGTTGAACACAAGATTGTGTTATTAATTAAACACTTGGCTTTTTTTCCATCATATATTAATCATTAATGTAATTATTATTCGTAGAGTAAATACGTGACTCTGCCACTAGTTACAGGAATGAAAAAGAAATACGGAAATATAAGAAAAGGGCATGAGGTATAGAAAATATAGCCATATTTACTGGCACTGTATATTATAGAAATGAGTTGGCAAATGATAAATTTCTAAATAAGGCACCGCTCGTGGTATCACAGGAAAGCAATTTGATACTTTGCGTGGAATTTATTAATAGTACCTGCTTGGTTAGTAGAATTAAGGCATTACGAAGTGTCATTACACCGTTCCTAACAGCATATCATTTACATTATTGTGCATAACCTGAACGTCTTACATTTTCTTCTATCTACAATTAATAAAAGTCAATATATTTAATACATTTTACATTAAACACTATAAACACTACTTTAAGAATAATTTGTTAAAAATATGTTTTATTCAAACCTCATTCAGTCCGATTACAACGAAAAGTATACATATATAATATATAATATACGGTAGTAGTTGACGGAAGAAGGGGACAGAAGAGGGAAAGGAAAGAAGGAAGGCGAGGAGATAGAAAGAATAGAAAGGAAGGATCATTCTGATTGGTGTACTATACGTAAGGTTTTATTCTTTCTACAATTAATGTTGACGTGTAGTTTTTAGGCTGCAAAGCCGTGGGTCTAAAAAAATTCAATAAGAAGTGTAGGTACATATAAGCTTGAACAGAGTAAAGTTTAATGCTTAAAACTAAAGGCTTCAAACTAATACTGAAATAATACAGGGTTACTTTTCAAATGATTTTCTTAATTTCTAACTTTACAGGGTCAAATCATTAGCTGACATTACCAATAAAGCATTCGTGGGTGCAGTCTTGTACGCCTCGCAGGTGCGGAGAGCAGCAATTCTCCGGACGGATAACAGTTTACATGTGTTGTGTGCTTTGGCAGCCATATGAAACTAACCAAGGTGGAGTTTTCATAACATTTCTAGCATCTAAATAGGGGCCAGTTTCCCACAGAAAGTCTGTCGCACTGGCATAAAGACAACCTCTTGCTTTGCCTTATTTCATCACTCCACTCCACGCGCAATTACAATTGACATTTAGATTTTCAGCGAGTATCGACTGTGTTAGATTATATAACTTTTACTATTGTGCTATATTATATAATAAAATGTTAAAAAGCTTTATTACAAAGAAGTGTACGGTTCTAAATTTAATTTTAAAAAAAAGCTATTGCTATTATCTTTTATTAGGTTCATGTCTACCTATTCTTAATTTGTATAATTCATACAATTATAACAAGTAATGCACTTAAAATTTAAAAATTTCGCTCATTAAATGTCATTAAAATGGAAACTTATATAAAAGTAAAAAGTGTTGTACGTCATCAACACAAAATGGTGAGAGAACTGGAAAACAAGTGATTGTTTTATAATAAAACACATGTTATAGTGCATAAAAGGTGTTGAAATTCAACATTTTAACTTAATTACGTTCATCTAGCAGGCATTTTAATATGAAGCTCGCTCTTCTATTCTTTTTGGCAGCAATTATCTGTGGTACGTTTATTATTACAGACCTTTAATTATATCAGGAATATCGCCAAATAATTAATTATATTTACATTAGTGGCATTGAATTAATCATATTTTTGTTTCTCTGTCCAAGCTTATTTATTTAATTCGTGGATATTGTCGATTTTTATGAAAGTCAAAGGAAGAAGAACTAACAACAGAATAGAAGCTTTAATTAAGGTTAGTGTATTTTAAAATACAGTAAAACCTGTCTAAAACGAACACGATAAAAGAAATCTGCCTAAATGGAAACAATTTGATGATGCGCGATTCCGGTTTATACGGGTTTTAATTGTATTTAAAATTTCGGGAGCGAAATTTTTATAGAATAGAGTTAAAAATTAAAGTTAAATAAGCAAAATTTAAACGAAATTAGTGGAATAAATACAATTAAAAGTTCTTTATAGATTGAAATTTATAATTAAATTCTAATTAACAGGAGAGAGAAATATTGGATAATTTAAAAGAGGAATTAAAGAAAGAGGGCAAACGAGCAAAACCTGACATTAAGGAGAATGCTTTCATGAATCGTCTTCAAGAAAAGAAACGCGTAACTATCATTTACTCATTTAAAATTAGTGTAAATTTCACACTCTCTCCTCTTATAAGATCTAAAAGATAAGAGAAAATAGAATATGTGAATGAAAAATGTATAAATTCTTCTTTCTTGAGTGCACTTGTTTAAATATAACTTTAAACACTTATTAGATAAATGGGATGAAGAAAAAAATCGAGAAAACAATGCCTGAAAGCACGGAGAGAAAGGTAAAATCACCAATTGAAGACGAACGTCATCAAGATAAATCGAAATCAGAAGGATTACGTGATCCAAATTACATGAAAAAATCTCCGTCTGAAAAGACTGAAGATGATGGCCGTTTTATATCTTACTATTATTATTGTTGCGATTTTTGTTATGGTTTGTACGGTTACGATTACGTTTTCGAAAATGAAGGTGAAGAATTTGTAAGTCTTTACAACGATTGTCTTTACAACTGTTTCAACTATTGGTGCTATTATGATTATGATGATATGAATCAATATTATGGCTGAAATAATTCATAATAATGTAACGGGGGGGATAAAAATTGATAACGAATTTTTCATCCCTATTAAAACTGTCATGAAATAAAATTGGAATTAAGCATAGAAAATTGTTATTGTTTCTTATAATTATTACATATTTAGCGAATGTCTTCATGATTAATTAAACATTAAAATTAAAATTACGTCTCCTTATGAAATTAATCGTGTAAAATCTCCAGGAATTTGCATTCTTATCGAGTTTTTGATTATTTAAATCGCTCCATTTGCTTGAGGGGATAAACCACTAAACAATGGTCGCGGGTTCGCACCCGACGACGTGGAAATTACCAGGTTTATTTATGTGTTTAACACGTAAATAGGTCCTTCTCGGGAGTATCCAGCTTTGCCACAGTCTTACAATTGTTAATCCAGTTAACTAATAAAATTTGGGACGTAGGGTAAGGTCAAATAAGAGTTCATAGTGTTTACCTTATTAATGCTCTTATTTTAAGGGATAATTTAATGAAGAATTATTAAAACTATAGATTTTATTCATTTAAATTAATTATAGGTAAATAATTTACTATAATACAGTTTTATATTTATAGAATTAGGTCTTACAGCAGTGGTTCTCAACCTTTGACACTCGCCATTCTTCTTGCCTACAACTAGTGATACGCGTACTACCGGTTGAGAATTTCCGCTTTGTAGGCTCCAAGATTAAGCAGAAATTAAGATTTTTCGCTTGATTTTCGCTTTCTGTCGTGATTTTTTTTAATTTTATTAAAGCAGGTGGATTTGTTTATGATGATAAAAGTCAAAACATATGTCTGTCCTTGACATTTATACAATATTCTAATATTTAAATAACTAAAGTTGTTCTCACCGTACAATCGACTCCATGTTGAACGAGACGCGTTAGCGCGCGACAGCATGCGACGCGACGCGTCGAAGAAAAATATTCGTTAAAAATTGTGGGCACTGCGAAGGGAAGTAAATTTGATTAAAAATTAAGTGATTTTGACTGAAATCGTTTTAATTTAATAAAATAATTATCGAATTTGATATTTATAATAGATAAATTACATAATTATTTTTAAAACATCGCTTCATACGCGACGCGTACGAAATGTTTAATTAAATTAAATTAATTAATATAAATTTAAATTTTATAATTAATAACGAAGTTTAATTGGGTTAAAATATGTAAATTTTAATTGTCGAATTAGGTCAAACAAAAGTAGTTAAGTAGATAAATGTTGTAGTTGCTTATGTAACTACTGCTGCCAACTTCGCATTCAATTTAATTGTTAATCTAAATTAATTATTTTAAATTATATAATTTAATATATTTAAATATTTAATTGTTTTTAAATTTATTTATACTTTTTATTGATTGCTGTTAAAATAATGCATTCATTAAGTGCATAATTAGTAATGCAACCATTAATTAAGCATAAACAGGGATGCCAAGAGAGGAGCATAGGAAGCAAATTGCCCTGGGTTCGTACTTAACTACAATCCTAGAGTAATCCTTTAATTTGCCCCTGTCTCCTGGCATCCCTTCAATTTGCCCTTCCTGGCATCTCTTCAATTTGTCTCTCTCTCCTTGTATCTCTTCACTTTGCCTCTCTGTCCTGACATCCCTTCAATTTGCTCCATTTTTCCCTCTCTTGACATTTGTTCCCTTTGTCCCTTTCTCCTGATATCACTGCAATTTGCCCCTCTCTTTGGAATCCCTGTAATTGCCTTTCTCCTGGCATTCCTTCAATTGTCTCTCTCTCCTGGCATCTCTTCAATTTGCCCCTCTTTCCTGACATCCCTTCAATTTTCCCCTCTGTCCTGGCATCCCTTCAATTTGCCTCTCTCTCCTGGCATCCCTTCAATTTGCTCCATTTTTCCCTCTCCTGACGTAGCTGCATTTTGCCTTTCACTTTGGAGTTTATGCAATTTGTTCCCTTTGTCCCCCTTTCCTGATATCACTGTAATTTGCCCCGCTCTTTGGAATCTCTGTAATTGCCCTTTTCCTAGCATTCCTTCAATTGCCTCTCTCTCTCTTGGCATCTCTGTAATTTGCTTCATTTGCTCCTACTTCATAGGGGTCCCTATACAATGTTTCCTTTAATATAATAATTTAATTTGTTATAGGTCCTCGCTTCAGGCCCCGTTACCCTAACATAAAATAATAAAAAGCATAATGGAGTACACAATATGAACCCAAAAAATGATTCAAATTGTTTTGGTTTAGTGATTTTCAGAAATTATAGCGACGTGTTTAGAAATATCGGCCCTTGTGCCAGGCTTAATGAGCCTAAAATGAAATGCGCCATTGTATACTGAGATATTTAAAGAAAACAATACAGCTACTAGGGCCTGTAGGCTCGAGTTTTGCATGTTGTACTCGATCTCACCTTGACAAACTCATTCACGTGACTACAACTCTCAACAGGTGAGAGGAAATACGTCATATTTTCTAGGCTAAGTAAATCGTCAGGAATTTTGGTTTATGGCTGCAGAAAGCCAGAAATGGAGGAATTTCTCTATTGCAGTAGTTGTGTCCTAGATCAAGCGATGTTGTTTAGGTGTGTGACTGAGAAGAAAGATGCATCACGTTCAGGTAGTTTTGGCATATTTAAGGCACATTAGTTAAGCCTGTCCCACAAGAATGGGTTGCTCAATACAAGGCTCTGCTCCAACTAGGCTACTTACAACCAATTTCTTCCACTATATTCAGGAAGAGAGGAACTAGGGGATCTTCCTGTAATGTAAGTTGGTTTTGGCTGCCCAGTCTACTCCTCAATCAGTAATGCAGAAAGCTGCAAAACGGAGGAAACTATGGCTGTAAAGGAGGAAATACACCTGCACCATTCGCTTTACACCTTACACAGGGCTGAACATAGACCTCTTGTGGCCCTGAGATATAACATATAATACGTACTTTCCCTCCATAAAGAATCATACACGTTAAAATGTGAGGCCCTAAGCTATTGACTGATAGTGCAACGCTCAAAGTCACGTCATATTTACCGGCAATATATTAATTATGTGATAAATTATTGATACGTCAGTCTGTATGTCATAATATAATATGTACTGTACCTATATGTATATTTTAAAAGCATTTTTTTAATAAAAAAGGGCCTCAAAGTCGATTAGGGCCTCATGAAATTACTGTAAACAAGAAAACATTTTCCCCGAAGAAAAATGTCTGAAGTCAATGCTGTACATGGGCCTCTTAATTCAAGTTCGCCTGGTCCCCGTAAAGGTATGACGCGTCACTGTAAGTAGTAATTGAATAAGGCAACAATTTAGTTTTTATAATGGTTAACTGACTTTTTGGCCACCCTCTATTGTTTTTTAAATATCGAATTATAGTATTAATCTCTGTAGGGCCTAATATTATAGCCTTATTAATTTATAAATAAGGTCTAAATTTAATTATATGTAGACTATAAATTAAAATTTTATTATATTTCCCTGTGCGTATTTACGTGTTAAAACTATTTATTAGGAAAATACTTTTATTAGGGCTTATTTAAAAATAATAATAGTACAAAACTGGAACAATAGGAGAAAAGCTATTTTCAAGCAAATAATGGCAAAGTGTACATTATCTTGTGTGAAATGTTCGAATTCGCCCCCTTTTACTGCGTAATATAAAAGAAAAGACAAAGTAAATAACAGAACTTGTATTTTATTTTTGTTTCCATACATATTATATTTATTAATAAACATATTTTAATTAGGATGTGGTTAAATTTCAAGAATATATCGTGCAAATAAATCAAGATAACATCATTAATTTCCTTTCATTTAATTATAATTTAGTCCTGATTTCGCTTATGATGATGATAATGATGATGATGTCCCCAGTAATGATGATGGCCACCATAAACTGGCTTGTTTCCATTTTCAACACTATCTTTTTCTTCACGAGATGGAATGACCTTTAACCCATCCTTTACAGATTTAAACTTACAAAATGAAATTATTTAATTATAAATTTAAAAAGAAATCGATTTAATTTCATTTATTAAAATCAATTTCTTACCATTTGAAGAATGTTTTTCTCCTTGTCTGATGATGAAATTCCAATCGTAGCATTGATTACTATCAGTTAAAAATACTGTATAATCAGTAGAAATAAATATTATTATTATTATAAAATAATAAATTATTAGTAATTTTACCGCAAGAAACGATGGCAATTAACACGAAATTGTTCATTTTAAATGCTGCTGCTCTTCAGTTAAAATTCTACAACACTGATTTATCGACACCTGTTTCCCTATCTTAAATAGGTATTTACACCTGCTAGCCACTTGTCAGCCAATTTTTTAAATTGTAGTGACGAATAATTTATGTGTTTTAAGCATTGTTTTTTAAGTTAATTTCCTCCCTGTAAGTAGGCCTTGATTGGAGGGTCAACAGGTCACTTGATTTCATCCCTAGACACAGAAGAGGTCTTAAAATTTACTCTTAATTATGTGATTAAAAAAAAGCTACTTTATTTATAACATTAGTCGTGGGTTCGTACCTCGCCAACGGACTGGCTACGTGGCTACGAGTTTTCTTCGCGTGTCTAAAGGGATTTAAACGTGTTATCACCCCTTTAAATTCGTTGAACTTTCAATAAATAACTAGAAAATCCTATGGGCCTATACATTATATGGAAACTGAAAAAAATATCAAATGATTTCTCAATTACCTCACTTTTAATTGTTTATAAATTTATGACGTTTTGTTTTAAATTTATTTGTTATTTTTTTAGTTGTTTGCGTAATACTTTCTACTACGAAAGCAACACTCTCTTACGTATTTATATGTTTTAGAAATATACAAAACCATTATGTAAATGGGTATCGTATGAGAACTATGTCATAAAGTGAATTACACATCAGCCTTGACGTCTGAATAAAATAAAAAGTTCTTGACCCACATCAAATTAGTTCACACCCCTGATATTTAAGGCAAAATTATTTATTTTTATAAAAGTAATATTTATAAGTTATAAATTTATAAATCCTTTATTTAAAAAAATAAATGAGCCTACTCGTGGGTCAAGATAGTGAAGGATAACAAAGAGGAGAAAGGGTCCAAGTACACTAAATGGTATAAAATTAATAAAGAAATAAATAATGTCGTATAAAATACGTTTTCTATTAAATTTATATAATTAAAATTTAAAAATAATGTAAGTTGGTTTTGGCNATATTTATTTATTTATTTATTATAATTTCGTAACTTTCACCTTAATCTACTTAAATCTAGTTCACGGGTGTAGTCTTATAGTAATTGTTCTTACAAAGTATTATATAGGACTGCAACTCTGTACTGAGATAAGTAACTAATATATTATATTGTTAATATAATAATATATATTTATATATAGAATTTCTTTAAAGCAAATATTATCAGATTGAATATAAATGAAGCAAATATTGTTCGTTTCTATTGTTTTAGGTAAGAATTACCGTCCTATTTTTAATCTTGTTTACTTTCTAATTAAGTTTCTATTTTATACAGTTTAATTGTAATTAACAATTGAGGTTGGGATATACTAGACGTATATAAGTGTGCAGGTGCATATGTGTAAGGTGTATTATAGGTTCTTACTATACTATACACTTATTTAAGTATATAATTTATATATATTGCTTGAAGAATAGTATTTAAATACACCTATATAGGTTAGTATTAAGTATTATTCTGTACTGAGGTGTATCATGCTAATATGTATTAGGTGTATATGCGTACTAAGGTGTTCTATAAGTATTTACTATAATATAGCTTAGAGACGAGTACCTAAATACATCTATACAGATGTATAGTGTGCTGAAGTGTATCAAGCTTATGTACTAACACAAGTGTTGTATATTCTTGAGATTTTAATTAGAGTTGAAGCAGAATATGTATAAAATTTTGGCAACTGGAGAGTCAGAAAAAAGTACATTTGATACTAAAAGCCGTGCTTCTTCGGGTTCTGTACGCAGTTTTCAGTGTATAAAATCATACATAATTCTAATTAATTTTAACTGTTAATTCATATAAAAGTCTAATTAAGTTTTCCTTTGCAGGATTAATTGTATTGGTAAACTTCTCTACCGGAAGATATCTGAATAAAGAGATTAAAACTAGTGTAACGGTGACTGAAGGAAAATTGCCTCAATCAAGTACAGTAATGCAGGAATTTATGAGTTTGTTTTCATCCTTTGTGAATGATATTATCAACCGTCCTTCAACACTTTCTGTGTCCTCCATATTATCTGACTCACCTCATTAATTATCAATTTTTATATTATTTAATTAAAAATTTATGAAATTTCTTACAATATTTTTCCATGTATTTAATATTTAAGATGAAATAAATCAATTCATATACTTTTCTGTTAAGTTCTTCTATAATGTTTTATATACGATTTTTAATATTTTAAAATACAGCCAAACCTCTTAACAACGGACATTAATGACATTATTCGGAGGTGGCCGTTGTTAAGAGGTTCTATTATACATTTTATTTAGTTTATAAATTGATATGAAATCATTCATAAAAGACTTTTTTATGGGCATTTCCTATATTCCACTGCTTCACATTCGCCATCATTACATACACCTTCCTGAAAAAATATGAATTAATTAATTAAAATAAAAGAAATTAATATATTTTTAACTTGAGAAATAAATAATAGAACTTAATTCAAGTTTATCTTTTAAAATATTTGGAAAAATTTTAAATTATGGCGTACTAAACTTACTTTTTTATTAACAAGTCTACATGCTGAACCATTTCTTACACGAACTTCATAAACATATAAATAATCCAAATCATAACACAGCATTTTGCATAAATATATGTCCTGCAAGAGATTATTTTCACATGAAAATACTCAAAAATAATATTTAAATCGTAAAAATTCTTTTACTCTTATTGCCAAAACTCTTCTTCTTGGCATCATTAATCTGCAATAGTGATCTTCTTCAGGACTTGGAGTCTTAACACAGTTTCCTCTCAGACATCTCTAAGTTATTAAATTATATAAAAAATATTAAATTATACGTTAATTTTCTTGATTTATATTATTATAATTTACTTTATTTCCTTCGCAGGCTACAAAATCTGGGCTTTGGTGTGGTTCGTACTTCTTTACTTGATCCACTCGACAGTAAAAATGACACGGTACACTGTACAATGGCTGAAATGGTACACGTGTATATAAATTTAATAAATTTCATAGTAATTGGTACATTATTTTAATAGATTACCTTATAATAATCTACGTGAGCTGACCATGGAAAGATCTTCTTGCATTCTTCATTGTAATCAACAGAAATGGCATACGGTGTTGTCGTTCCAGGAAGGGTTGTTGTTGGTGTTGTTGAAGGAATTTCCGTAGTTTCTATACTTGTATGAGGGGTTTTCGTAGTCTGCAATGTAGTTCCTAAACTTGAATTGGTAGTCTTGTTAGTTACTGTTGTTTCCGGTGGGGGTGTAGTTAGTGTAGTCGCTGCTAACGACTCAGTTATGCGGGAAATTAATACAGAATTTGTAGATGTTGTTCTATGATTAATTGTTGTTTCTATTGGGGAGAATGTAGGGTCTTCTGCTTCAGTATATATTTCCTATGATGAAGAGCACAGAGCTACTTACTACTGAATTAATGTTAAGATTACTTTAAATTAGACTTACCCCGCTGTTTTCACCACACGTTTCTGTAAATAAAAAAGCATACAAGATTAAATAACTTTTATATAATTTAAGAAGTTAACTAATATTATTACTCTGCGGTATAATTGTAGAATCTACTGTAGAATGGTGATGTATATACAGAGGCTTACATACACCCCTATTCGTTGGCACTACATCGAGTGACGTTAAATCGAAGGTCAGTCAATCGTTACGACCTTCATTGAGAGTTTAAGTCACAGGATTTTGATCATAAGAAGGTTTCATGATGTGTAAAATCGAAGACAAAAAGGGTTCTATATTTAATATTCATGAGAAAGCTTCGTTCACGAGAATTCTTCGGATGTTATATCGAAATTTGATTGTATATAATTTATTTGAATTTTAATATATTTTTTCGTAGAATAATATTATTATTTTCCCTACTTATCACGCTATACGAACTAACAATAGTATCATTTCTACGAGTAAATAATTCTTGTAAATATATATATATTCTTATATAAGGAACAGGAGAGGTCAACATAAGTCTATTTAGACCTTGTTTATAAATAGGACTTATTATACTGGTGTAGTTTCTGATTGCAAAGAGAGGAGATCTTAATGAAAAGTCAAAATAAAATAGCTTTATTAATACTAAAAACATTAAAGAAATAGAGATAAAAAGAATTAACACCAAATAGTCCTTTTACCTCCCTCTTCTTTAAGCCTACACATTATTTGTTTAACATAATTAAGCATAAATAACGGGGTGCTGTGACACTAAATATAAACCTACCAAGCGAATAATACAATTTTTGACCTAATTCTAATTTATAGATCTACCTACATTCAATAACCTTAATATAACAATTTATTTTATATATAAATTAACTACTATTAATGCTATTTTCTAATAATAAAAGGATTAAACTACTGAATAGAAGGATTACTCTGTGAATAAATGTTACTTACTAGAAATTATAATCATGGAGATGAAGCAGAAGGTGAAGCTCATCTTCGGTTGATGTTTGGGTTCTGTTGAGTGTAGGTATACAGTTGTTCTGGATCGAAATTCAACACGTATCAATCAAACAAATGTTTACATTATACTTTATGAGACAGTTACGTGTTATAATACTTTAATAAAATGTAAATATTTTCTAAAAATATCGTATTATATAACCCGCAGTCGTGGCAAAATGGAATTCTTAGTGTGGTCAGACGTTTATTATTCCCTTTTTTATAGGTTTAATTAATACATAAATACTTGTAAATATAATAAAATATTGAATTATTCTCTAATTTATTGTAATGTTTCCTGTCTTTAGAAAACATTTATTTTAAAATATATTTGGATTTCTATTGATTGATTTTTATTAATTCACAAGAAATGCTGTTATATTTATATAATAAAAATAATTTAGTATTAATTTAAACACTGACTTTTTTATGTGATACATTTGTTTTGCTTCGATAAATTGTGAAAGATTAATTTCTCAACTTAATCCTGCAATAATTGAGAACTTAAAGCAACAGTTATCGGGAATTGCATGATTTGTAACTGTCAACGTGGGGAAAAACATAAAAAACTGTGCGAAAAATAGAGAGGAACATACAGGTAACATCTAATTAGCATACATGGGGACTTGATCTTCAGTTTTTAAGTGGACAGAATCTCTAAACACTTGTAGTTAGTCGCGGGTTCGCGCCTCACCAATGAGCTAACCTCGTGGTGTTTTCTGGATTTCCTTTGTGCGTATAACATCTGAATTAAGCCATTCTCCCATAGGGCAGTTTACTTCACGCATCTAACACCTGAATAAAAGTCAATTTCCCATAGAACACGTGAAGTTTTCCGTGTTTTCTTCATACCTAATATCTGAACATGGTATTTTCCTATAGAAAGTTCTCCCTTTAACAGATGACTCAAGTGTTGCATTGCCATATTCCATCAAACTAAGTCATTTTTTCAGAGTAAAAGAATGATTCAAAATGTAAAAACTTCAAATAAATTGTGTCAAAAAACAAGGAAATTAATAACCTTCATACAACGGCTAATATTTCTTTTTTTATGTTTCCCGTCAGTGGCCGTTGTTTACAGGTTTAATTATAATATTCTAAAATTTCCTGCATACGGAAAATATTTATTTTATAACAATATCCTGTTTTATCGACTGATTTATTAATTCGCTATAAACGTCATTATATTTAAATAACAGCGAATAAATAGGTTTGCTCTATTCACAATAGAACAATTTCACATTTGGTAATCTAATTATACCTTAGAAAAATATTTCAAATTAATTCATTGACTTATTTCCTGCGTATTGTTTCTTCTGGTATAACATTATTTTTTTTAATACCTTTGGTAAAGATTTACTGTAATTTGTGTTCGCTAATAACACTGTACATGGGGCCCACTAATTCAACTTTGCCTGGGCCCTATGAAACTATTACGTTACATTTCTACATAAAACATTTCTCTCTCTTTAACAATTATATTGTGTAAGTATCAGGTATAAAGAACAAAGTGTTAATAAGTACAGAATTTCATGTTAATTACATGTAAACATACACAACATGTTTGTATAAAGTACAATACAAGTCACTCGTATCTTCAAACATTACAGGAATTTTGTAAAATGGATTTCATGTTATACATTTCCTTCTTTATTCTTATGACGAGTAAGTAATCTTCTTGTAAATTATTTTAAATAATATATTTTTTTTAAAATTTATATTATGAAATTTAATTATTACAGAATTATATGAGACAAATTCAGGTAATTGCACGGATAATTCTACACTGGTACCCATTACGAAATTTACAGAATCGCCTTCAACAAGTGAACCATCAATGTTGAACATTTCAAGCACAGAATCAGTAGATTCAACCCTTACAACTCCGTTTAAAGAAATAGAACATTCAAACAAAAGTTCTACAACAAATATTTCAGGTATAGATTTAATTCTTGAATTAATTGAAGCATTATTATCATAAGTGATGTCCATATTAGCGATGTCTGTAACAAGTTTCTATTGCAGAAACCACATTCATTGTCGTTACGAATGGTTATACCTTCCGATGTCAAGGAATAATGGAAATGGGAGATGAAGTAATGTATTTATAAGATAGTTAATAAACATAAAATTATTTATTAACATAAATTAACTTATATTCTTTAGCCTCCTACTTATCACGCTATACGAACTAACAATAGTATCATTTCTACGAGTAAATAATTCTTGTAAATATATATATATTCTTATATAAGGAACAGGAGAGGTCAACATAAGTCTATTTAGACCTTGTTTATAAATAGGACTTATTATACTGGTGTAGTTTCTGATTGCAAAGAGAGGAGATCTTAATGAAAAGTCAAAATAAAATAGCTTTATTAATACTAAAAACATTAAAGAAATAGAGATAAAAAGAATTAACACCAAATAGTCCTTTTACCTCCCTCTTCTTTAAGCCTACACATTATTTGTTTAACATAATTAAGCATAAATAACGGGGTGCTGTGACACTAAATATAAACCTACCAAGCGAATAATACAATTTTTGACCTAATTCTAATTTATAGATCTACCTACATTCAATAACCTTAATATAACAATTTATTTTATACATAAATTAACTACTATTAATGCTATTTTCTAATAATAAAAGGATTAAACTACTGAATAGAAGGATTACTCTGTGAATAAATATTACTTACTAGAAATTATAATCATGGAGATGAAGCAGAAGGTGAAGCTCATCTTCGGTTGATGTTTGGGTTCTGTTGAGTGTAGGTATACAGTTGTTCTGGATCGAAATTCAACACGTATCAATCAAACAAATGTTTACATTATACTTTATGAGACAGTTNAGAGAATAAATTTATTTTTTTCAATACCTTTACTGAAGATTGTGTGCTTCTTAATAACGAAAATTTCTTTGATTTTCTCCTTCTTATGAGCACTTAACTGGACTTTTTTGTTACCTATTATGAGTTGGCCCACAATGGAAAGGTCGGATGATTAGGGAAGAACACCACATATTCGGCATGGGCTACTTACAAACAGGCATTCTTTTAGACTGCCCTACATAAAATATTTAATGCTCTATAACAATTATATTGTGTGAATATCAGGTATAAAGAACAAAGGGTTAATAAGTACAGAATATCATGTTAATTATATGTAAATATACACAACATGTTTGTATAAAAACAGTACAAGTCGCTCATATCTTCAAACATTATAGGAATATTGTAAAATGGATTTCCTGTTATCATGCATATGTGATTATATACTAGAAAAATAATGTAAATGTATAATTGATTATACATTTATATCATATCAATCAGTAGTATACGTACCACCGATGGTATGAAAGAATGATCTGTTACTACTACAAATCAACCCACGGAAGGCTCGGGTGATACGCGAGTGAAGAAAAGTTGAGAACCTCTGGTATAATGTAATGCAAAGACATGGGCGATCTGCCAAGAGGTATGCTTTATTGGAGGACTTTATATAAGAAATTGGTCCCTGTTTAGGTATTATATATGTGAAGAAAATTCGGAAAATTCCACCTCATCAATCCGTTAGTTGAACACGAACCCGCGACCAACTATCAGTGAACAATGGATTTATCTATTCGGCCGCTGATGGGTCGTTTATGGAGGGAGTAAAAAAATGTCGTACACATCCCGTAAAAATACAGAAAACGAGTTAGGTTATCAACAAACTTAGATTTATTCATTTATACTCTACAACCACATTAATAAAACTTTTCATATTAAAGTTTGGTAAGTTGCAGAGTCAAGCCTCTCAATTATGAGCTGAAAAAATGTGTATATAATTTTGGGGAGATATCCTGTTTATCTTAGAAGTAGGCTCAGATAGAGAAGGTGCAACAGGACCATTTGATCTAGGTCTTGGATAAGCAGAGATTCCAAAATTATGAGATGATAACTGACACACTCCTGATACTAAATAAGAAAGCCTATCGCTATCCTTCTGAGGTCTGTTAATTGATTATGAAAGATATTAAATTTATATTATAAAATTTAATTATTACATTACACCATTCATATCGTTAGGCATTTTCTTAATTTTGGAGTAGCATCAAACAAATGGAAAAAATGCCTAGAATAGAATCTACAGTTGAGTAGGAACCAATATCATCCCGTTTATAACCTTTCCTTTGTAGTAGACTTCCGCCCTCTCACTTTCTAACCCCATTTAAGCCAACCCCAAGGAGTTTATAAAAAAACTTTGTCCGTCATTCACATGTTTAGTGTGTTAAAACTCTTCAAAGACCCCTAAAATTTAATTGTGCAGTAGATAATTTATAAAGAATTGTCGAGAATTCTTACGATTCCACTCCAACATACAGGAGGCCCTAGACATTTTAATTGTTATAAATAAATATATCAATTAATAAATGTTGCATTATTAATTATATTATTTATTTAAAAGAGCCCACAATGAAACGGTTGGGCAACGCAACACATGAGAAATTTGCAAAAAGGGGTACCTCCCGGGAGGTCGTTTATGGCAAACTGACCTCTATTTAGGTGAGAACCCACATGCTAACGTGAAAAAACATCTCAAAAACTCCTCGTGGACAGCCCTTGGGTCAGGCGCGAACCCACGATCGATTCATCAGCAAGAAAATCCTTCACTCGCGACCATTTAGTAACCATAATAAACGTGAAAAAATACATTCTACGACATACAGGATGCCCCATAAATCTGTAATAACATGAGTTACATTGATCGTTGTTTATACTTTCCATGTAAAACATGGTGCTGAGTAAGACTGAAGAAATTCAAGTTAAAGAATGGTTTTAATTAGATTTATTTAAAAATTTAATCTAAAGGCATAAAACACTATAACTTAATTTCTTTTTATTAAACTATTTATGTTTCACAATATATTTTATATGTAATTTTCGTTAGAAATTTAAAATATTTCAAAATGTAGTGGGTGAACATAATCCTCGCTTCCTTCTCTTCTGAAATAAAAGATAATAATTTATGAATTAATATTTTAAAAAATATACTGTAACAAATTTGTCTGTAAATATAAGTCTCTTGCCAAATAGAAGTAATTACTGTTGTTATTGTTTGAGGCGTAGTTACGACTGGAAGTAATCGTGTTGATCCCTAAACAACGAGTGGAGCTTGTTTTATTGTGTAGAATAACACGAGAAACTGAAAAGGAATTTCATCATTCCCTCCCTGATCTTTAACCAAAATTCCACTTTAACCAAAACAGCCGCATACCATTGCTGATCGTGGCCATACGGTTCTCATCCAGGACACAGAAGAATATTGTCAACAGCTTGATGTGAAGGCTCCAGAAGGTCTGGATGAAAACAATGGAATTCTTGTGCAGCTTTCCATGTTGTTCTATGATTTCTCCACACAATAAAACAAACTCCACACGTTTTCACATTAGCGTGGTTACTTCTGCTCGCAATTACACCTACAACAATAAGGATGGTGATTCTCTCTCATTTGGCAAGCAACTTATTGGCCACACTGTATTAAAATTTATTTTTATTTTTATAATTTATAAAATGGAAAATATTTTACCAATCTTAATTACTGATTATCGTCATAATCACAAGGTTCGGGTATCAAAGTTGAATGAAAAGTATGCAAAATTTCCAAAGTGTCCAAGTCAAAACATTCAATCATACACGACTTTTCTTCCTGAAAATTTCTTATTTTTGTTATCTAATTTATAATTACGATGTAAT